TGTATGAGTAAAGCAAAGATCACATGACCAACTAATGTCATGTTGCTAGATTCAAGAGAATGCATATATAAATAATCTAGTAAGCATTTACCCCAGCTTTCATGCAGAGGGTATTTTTTCTTGATTTTTGAATATCCAGTGCTTTGATGTGGATGCTGTTGTAATTTACACTGTGAGATGAGATTAGAGCATTTGAAATAAGGAAACTTTGTCAGAATTTTATGTGCAGCATCTTGAATAAAGACATCAACCTGTTTTTACTACAAGATAATACTTTAAACCTGTATTGGTAGCATGATGAAATATTTATTGCATTTAGTACCCCATCCAGTTTTTATTCTAATTGGTGCTGACATGAAAGTAAACCAATAACTGTATTCGATTGTATATAAGACAGCTCCTTAAAAAAAACCCAATATCTCCTGAGTTTTATAAACGAAATTGAGATATTTGGTAAGCTAATATTTACTCAGATGCTATAGACTACTATTACTTGTCATGTATTGCCTAACTTAAGTCTTTAGTATTAAATATAAAAAGGAAGGTGTAATATGATATCAAATATAGTTGCTATTTTTACTATTATGCATTTTATTTTGCTTGCAGCTATAAAAATTTTTTTTTTATCTGTGCATAAACTTGAAATTTCTGTTTATTCTACCATAAATCCGTATTTTCAATCTAAATTAGACACCCATAAGGCTAGTGGTGGGAATGGGATCCCAGCAGTAGTCCTGAAGAAATGTGCTCCTGAATTGGCTCCAATCCTCTCTAAACTATATAACTATTGCCTCACTCACTCTTGCTTTCCAGCCTGTTGGAAATCCTTTCCAAACACTCTGTGTGTGTGTGTGTATATATATATATATATATATATATATATATATATATATATATAGTCATCCATGGACAGACTGTTTCACTGTATCACAGCTCCTCAGTGTGGCTAGATGTCTGGTTCCTTCAAGCCAGGATTGAAACCCGATTGATTTGACATCAGTCAGATATCTTACCCCTAGGCCATTGTCGCATGGTGGAAACGAAAGGAATTTTAATGTTTTTCTTCTATATTTCTATACGAAATATGCCAGTGGCCCGGAGAACACAATTCGTACTTGAAGAGTAATGATTAATAGCAGTAGGAGCTGCTGTTTTTAAAACCCTCTCTTTCTTTCTTTCAAGAGCTCAACTGGATTTCTGGAAGCATATTTGGTCATCCACAGACTGTTTCGCTCAAATATATATATAATAAATACACCCCTACCCTCCCTAAACTTAACCTCTTTTTTGAATGTAACTCATAATTGATACAACAATAGTTAATAAAAATGAACATGCTACTGCCCCTGTCTGAATGATTGGATTTCTCTGTATTCTTGAAAACAGGAAATTATGAATTTATATGTGCATTTAAAACTCAGTAAATTTAAAAATAAGTTATTCCAAAATTTGCTTGAGGATGAAACAGAACTAATGCTTTTAATTTAATTATATAATTTAAAGTTTTTAGCTTCAGTTTTTGAAACGTGGTTATTACTGTGTAGCAAAAAACATTTTAAATCAGTTAATATATATATATATATATATATATATATATATATATATATATATATATATATATATATATATAAAATACCAGTAAAAGGTTTGTCACTTAGCTGATTGGTGCTACCTTCAGCATTCCGACTCCAGAGTTTTGTAGACAGGCCTTCTGGCAATTACTCTGTCCACTAGTCAGGTGATGTTGTCAATTGACTGCTTATATTTGATTTTTCTTTTTTATATGCACTTTTCATTAGTGCAATTTTTTTTTCATAATGTATGTGTGCATGCATGTGTGTTTGTGCATGTGTAAAATGTCATGATTATTTATCCTTTTCTTTCTTTTTTTTCACTTTACACTCACTCCTCAACCTTCCCCCTCTCTATATTAATTTCTAAAGAATTAATGGATTTATTTTTAATCCAACATTTTTAATACATGAAAGATTATCATAGTGCATACTCAAATTTTGGAGTAACAAAAAGGTCAAATTTGAAATAAATCCATTGTTTCTTTAGTAATTGCTTTGTGTAGATTTTAGATATGAAATTGATCAGATATGGGCTTTCAAGAAAAATATCTGAATGAGGTTTGTTTTCTTCAAGAGGGAAAATCATGCCTTGCTGACCTGTGACACTCACTGTAGCTGGAGTAAATAGTAGTTTCTCTTGCAAAGGAACACAGGCTTGATCCCTGCCACAGAACACATTTTCTTAAGTTTTCTTGAATGTGCAGACCAATAGATGTAATAATACATACTGTTTAAAATAAAAATGGGTCGTCTATTTCCAGTATGAGTATCCACTATAATAACGTTTAGTGTTTATGTAATAGAAGTGACAGTGACTTACCAGGAGCGTGAATTAGCTGCCCCGGCGTGTCGAACCATTCTCTGAGATTCGGTAAGCGCGTCGACGCCTTTCTACTGCCATTTTTATGCAGCAGACTTATTTGCATTAAGAGAACCACGCTACCGATTAAAAAATCCATGAGTGGACATGGGAGGCCACTGCTCTTCTAGGCTTCGGCGAGACTAGACGTATTGCTGACAGAAAGCGACAACAATTTCTGGACATTTGACAGTTTATATATATATATATATATATATATATATATATATATATATATATAAGGGAAAGAAGTATGACCAAGTGGAAAATGTTTTCGTATGACATGTTTAAATTACTAAATTAGAGAGTAAAAATTAATTTCCAGGTAGATTAGTAGACATACTTTTGGCTACAGTTGGAATTAACTAATTGCCAAAGTAAATTGTTTTATTTTTGTTGAGATGAGGAATTATTATTACTATTCAGGCTAGTTTTTTGGCTGTTATTGCTACAGCATCTTAACCATTTTGTCGTCTGTCCTAAAACTATCTGTCATTGGAAAATTGGAACTAAACACTTTATTTGATGATGAGAGTAAATTGTTCTTATTTTTCTCTTGATACTATATCTAGTATCAATTACTTTTGTTTTAGGGATTGCTGCATGTTTCTTTGATTGAACCTAAGCACATGAATTTTTTTTTTTTTTTTCCAGCAAAATTATTTATTTCATGTTTGTATAAAAAAAAATAATATCTTAAAAAGAGACTTCATATTATATAGATATGTTTTGTGAAAGCATCTGTCTATTCATGAACTTAAATGTAGGTGTCATATTTATAATGAAATTTCTGCTTGGCACCAATACATTGCAACTAACTTAATTACATTAAAATATTGAATTACAATTTTTCATATCTTGAAATAAAAAAAACCAAAAAAAAAAAAAACCAAATAAAAACACATTCTTTATGCCGGTACTTGAGATGGGATAGAAATGCACTCTTAAAATAAAACAGTTGCTTACCATAACAACTTTTTTATTTTCATATACACAGCCCTAATTATTCTAAGTTGATACTGTTTACATGTTCACACTATTTAAACAGTTCATGCATTGATGGAGAGGAGAAATATAGAATATATATTAAGAATATATATTCTATATATCTAGAATATACTGATTCTAAAGTGATTAATTTTACATGATGAGGAACATTTCTGGTTTATTTATTACTCCTCCAGTTTCCTTTTCTTTAAAATCTGTGAACCTCATAACTGTTTTTAGGAAATACAATTGAGTTGATTTCTGTTGCCATCTGTTTTTTAATTAAAACAGCTAAAAGTTGTCGGTGTTAGAATAGTGGTCCTACCAAAGCTAGAGAGATCAATCTGCCTTACTATTTTATTCATAACTTTTTTTTTTTTTTTTTCACCCCAAGCAAGGTGACAATGCCACTAGAATGCAGGTTACGGAGGTGTGGGGGGGGGGGGGTTGTGTAAGAGAATGTAAAGAGTTAATTGAGGAAAGGACAATAAAAGAACAGAAAGCAAAGAGACAAGTTCATATGTTTCCAATGCGTATTAGTGTAAAATGAACTAAGCTGGAATTCGAAAATAGCTTTTTGGTACCATTTTCTTCAACAATAACCACTAATCCAACATTGTATGCCTTAGAATTCATTTCACTTTTTAATATAAGAAAAAATAAATTTTTATTCTAATGTGAAACTGATCAACTTTTCTATGTTACAGGATAAGATAATTTTGAAGTTGTAATTAAATTTTGAGTTCTTCTTTTGGTAAAGTTTAAAATAACTTTTTGGATTAGTAAATCTTATTTTTTTAAGGTAATTGTTGTGGATGTGTTCAACATAACTGAAAAAGTTTTCCTTGGCATGTGGTAGTGGTTAGCAAGATACTCTAGTTGACCATTATAAACAGTGATTAATTGTTTTTTTTTTATGGATTATCAACCCATTGTAGATTATTTAAATCCAAAATATATTTTTGGATTTTAAGAGATTTTTTTTCATGACTATATATTACATTGGCAATTCTTTGAGAATAACAATGATTTTTCTAGATACAAGCCCTATTATTTAACCCACAGCTGGAGGGAGGAAATTGATTGATACCTTTCCCAAGGGTATTTGTGTGTAAATGAATGTAATGAACGAGACTAGAATTTGAACTTGATTTTTCATTCCAAGCTGCTGTCTATTATACCACCTGCACATCCTATGCATAGTGAATTTGATCCTTACTGGGAGTCCCATATTTGTAGCCTTGTGTCAAACTAAGCTAAACTTAGTCAAATAATAACATAATAACCTAAAAATGATTTTATAATCAGAAACACTTTAAAACTGTAATGAATATCTTGTTGAAACTATTCTGTTTTACTTCAGCTCCCTGGAGGCCTAATAATGAATGTGATTAAATAAATACAAAAAAATGACTATAGAACATTCAGCTAATATGTAATCTGGATTTTTTGAGAAGATTTTCTGTTTGTTTATATTTTAGAAGTTTCTTTATATCATAGAATTTCTGTTTGTTTATATTAAGTTGTTTTAATTTTTCTTTTTAAACTTGTTGAAACCTTTTTTTTTTTTCTAATTTCAGTTATTTTCTTTACACAAAGACACGTATGGGCTATTTTTATCATCGCAGAGAGATCACCAAATCTACACTAGAACACCCAGATGGACATTCTAAATGTCATCCTACAGATTTTGTGGGTTTGTAACCATTTCTGTTTTCGTTTTTTGTTCAGCATGCCTGATTGTAATGCACAATTAATAAAGACGTATTATCATTCAAACAATTGTGATAACAACAGAAGCAATATGTAGAATAAGCTGATAATATAGAAAACTCTTGGAATGATAATGACTCTTCCAAAATTATAGAAGGTATGTTACACATGGATGTACATATGTGGAAGGCTTTTGAATGAACTGGTAAAAATGCGTTAGCAAAGAATGAGGTCAGTTGTCAGAATCACTCTTTGACCAATAAATTAATACTAGTGGTACATGTAAAATTTCACAGTTTTTTTATTTTATTTTTTTCATGAATCATAATTCTTAAGTTAATGATTGAATACGCTCATTGCAAGTTCCATGACTATAAAAAAATGTATGGAAATTTCCCTATTTCTTTCATTCTTTCCCTAAAACCAAGCGGCATTTTTCATATATCTTCTGTTTCTTTTTGCAATCAAACAGGAATGGCCCATTTATTTTTTTTTACCAGAGGCAATGGCAGGGTGTAAACATACATGCTAAGAAACAAGCAGAATTATAATATGATTTTGGGATTTCATCCATATTCTGACATTAATAATAATTGTAAACATTTTTCAGTCATAATTTTTATTCAGTAGTTATAGACTAGCAGTAATACCTGGCCTTGCCTGGGTTTATAAATATGCACTACAATTACATGTATACACTATACTTAGTAATGGGAGCATAGTCAAATTTTAGAACATTTTTCATTCATGAGACCTGGTTTTTGAAACTCACCATTCTTGAGTTATCAAGTTTTCCTGATACTCCTTGGCTGGTGAAAGTGATGTCAAGTGTATGGTACCATTGGAAAGAGCTTGAAAAAAATACCTAACCTTGAGAGTGAAATTTGGTAGAGAGTATTGTAAAAAGCCATTGATGCTTGTTCTAGCAGGAACTCATATGTCATGATGGCCAAGGGTTTGATCATACTGACTTTGTTCAAACTGGTGAACATGCCAGATTGTGTGCTCTCTTCCAGAAATTCTGGAACAGGTCTGCTCAGCATAGTTGTAGTATAAACCACAAGTAAGTTCTGTGTGTGATGAACTAGCATAAATGTGCCTGAGCAAGCATCTACATCAAGGATTGACTAACTGCTCAAGCATATGGGGGTGTTTGGAAACAAGTAGTTACTATACTTTGTATCTGTTGTTTTAAAAAGAGGCTGACTTGGTATGAGAATTATAATTAATGATATCATCAGCTCCAAACTCGTTATCTATGCTAATGACACAACAAATTACTCTTGTTTTAATGGTAAGTCTGGTAGGTTTGATAAAGTCAAATTGGCAGCTGGTTTCAAAAATGATCTTCAGTATGTTGGTAATGGGTCAAAAAATGGCTTGTTAATTTTGATGACTCCAAAACAAAATTGCTCTCCTTTAATTTTATAAGAGGACTTTGTTTGTATGGCTGATGCTAACCTCCAGGAGGGTGATTCTTTGTGCTGCCTTGGTCTAACACTTTCAACTGACATGAAATGGAATGATTATAAAATTAATTTTTAGGTCTGCTGATAGCTAATTTGTCATTCTAGACGATTTTTCTTATCAAAATCTATCTTACACCTTTATAAGTTTTCTATTTGTTCATTCATTGAATATTGCTGCCACTTCTGGTTTGGTGCTTCTGCTATGTATCTCAAGATTCATGACAAAATCCAAAGAAGAATCAGCAATGTAATCAGTCCTGATGTGGCATCTCAACTTCAGTCACTTTCTCACTGCCATAATATACCTTCCTTTTCTATAAATACAATCATGGTAATTTCTTCTGATGAAATTTCCTCTTTGGTATTTTGACTTCATTAATTCAAATGCAGTACTAGATTGGCAGCTAGGTCTCATCATTTCATAGCTGAAAGTGTAAGCATAAGTCTATGCTAATAGTTTCTTCTCTTGGACTTCTTGCTTTTGGAACTCTCTTCAAACTTCTTATATTCCTTTCAAGAATGACATTCAAAAATTTAAATACAATGTCAATAGTCATCTTCTGTTCCCTTGAATCCAGGTTTTTAATGTCTTAACATTTTTTCATTTTCTTTCACTCTCTGTAAGAAAATAAAAAAAATGGGGATAACAACTCAAATATGTGTACCCACTAAAAATAGCATTTATAATAAGAAATATATATATATGTATATATACATGAATTATTCACACAAAACTAATGCAAAGGTTAATGATTTTAAATGGCGAGACATCCATCTCGCAAACAATTCAAATATTACACAAAAACCTTAGATCCGTTATGAATGAATTGATCCTTGTTCATATAAATTTCTGCCATATTAGTTGTTATTTTTACACAAGCTTTCGTCTGTTCATACAGACATCTTCAGGTATATAATAGATGTTGTTCTTGTTTTTTTCTCTTAGTAATAAGAGGACATCGAAAAATATATGTGTATTGTATCCGAAATGCTATTGAAAATGAGATATTGGTTTTGAACGCGCAAAGCAATGCTGAGTTTGATTTTTTGAATTTCTTTTTAAAATGTTTGCGTTTGTACCAAATATGGTAATGAACAAATTATTTTACTGGTAAATTTTACTGTCAAAGTGGCATGAACTATATTGTTCAATAATTAAAAATCATTAACCTTTGCATTAGTTTTGTGTGAATAATTCATGTATTTGTAAATTGATTGCACGTTTATTGTAATATGTATATATATATATGTATATATATATATATATATATATATATATATATATATATATATATATGAGAGAGAGAGAATTAACACAAATTTAAAATTTGTCAATGAGATGATTGATATGAATTTGGAATAAACTAAAGTAAAAGTACCAGAATTTCTTTCTATTTTTTCTATATCTTATTTTTGATGAAGCTTTAATAAAAGTGAAACATGTTAGATTGATAAATGCTTCCTATTTGTTCTTTATCTCATCATTTTCGGATTCCAATCCATATTTGATCCAAACTCTCTACCCACTATGCATTATATATATATATATATATATATATATATATGTGTGTGTGTATTTGTGTTCAATGTGATGGTCCAGTCACTTTCTCACCAACATAATTTGGCTTTCCTCTATCTTTTCTATAAATATTTTCATGGCATCTGTTCTGATAAGCTATTTTCGTTGGGGCCCTGACTGCAAGAATTTAAGCATGCTACTAGGTTGGCATCTAGGTCTCACCCTTTTACTGTCAAAACAGTTAAATGTAAATGCCTCTTCTACTCCAACAGCTTCTCTTGCATTTCCTGACAGTTGAACTCCCTTCTTCTTACTTTCTTCCCTGATAACTATAATCTTCAAAAGTTTAAATGTAATGTCAATTGACATTTTCTGTTGCTTTGATCCCCATTCTTTTTTTTTATCCTCTTCCATTCTTTGTTTTTATCCTTTTCTCAGTCTTTTCTATTATTTACACTCTCTGTCTTGCTTGGTGCTATATATATATATATATATATATATATATATATATATATATATATATATACACACAAATTCTTATTTGCTACATATTTTAAACATATACTTAAAAAAAAGAAGATAAAGTATATTAGTAAGTTTTCTTCCTCTACTTTTTTCCCCCACCCTGCCTTGGTTTTCTCAGTTGTGCCGTAATTAATCTTGACCCGTAACTGTGATGAAATTTCATCACAATCTCCTTTTAATCTTCTGCACTTTAGGCCTTGATACTTGACATTGGTAAACCACTGACCATTAGAGAACAAGGTTCCTCAAGTCAACAGGAAACTACAAATTAAGATAAGAAATGTATACATATATAATGTGTCATCGTAAGCATGAACCAATTTTTAGTCTCTCCAAAATAATTGGCACCAAGTAACCAAAACACTTTCAAATATTCACAAACAGTGTGGGGTGGATGGAAATGTTTTTGGTTGTAGCTGTTTTGTGTTTCAACATAGGAACTTTCATATTTCTTGCTTTCTTAGCTTTGTTGAATTGTTAAAGCTTCCAATCCAAACATCTGTGGATAATTATGTTTGTTTATTTGTGTGCATATTTGTAATATACATAATATCCAATGTCGATAGCACGAGTCTGAGTTTAATGCAGTTGCTGCAATCTTCAAATGCAAATACAATCTGAGCTCTGTCTCATGACATTGAGCACTGTATTTATAACACCTGTGGAAGAAATATGTTTATATGTATGTGAAATTTTTTGTGTATGTATGTTTTTTTATATACACACACACATATATATATATATATATATATATATATATATATATATATATATATATATTCATTTTATTTTCAGATAGTGGATCTGTTAAGAAACAAGAGGATAAACTCTTCTAAGCCAATGCATTTCATCCTCTGAGGGACTTTATCAAGGCAATAGTAGGATTTATTTTATTGCACATATTTGTATACAAAGGCAAGGGTGTCAATAGTTTATCAAGGCTTTTAAATTTGAGAACATTCATGAATATGGATCAGGTAGTTGAAAGGTCGCTAAAAATATGTGAAGGATATTTTTTATGATTAGATTGTTATGGGATGAAACATGAGGTAATGGATTTAACTGTTCTCTTTTGTTTTTTTTCAACATATTTGTGGTTGTGTATGTTGGCTTGGGAAAGTAGCAATTCTTTCAGGAAATATATATATATATATATATATATATATATATAAATATAATAATAATGATAATAAGTCAAGAAGAAAACCTTAAAGATCCATTTTGGTTATAATTTATTTTGTGAATATTTCTATATATTCATCTATTCAGACTAAAAGCTTTTATTAAATGGTGACAATTTCCCCTAGACTTATATACTAGATTGACAGGGGGAAGCAATTGAAGAGATGAATATATAGAGATATTCTGGATCTTTAAGGTTTTCTTGATTTATTATTATAATGCTCTGTAGTTTACATTGAGCTCTCTCTGGATTAATATCCTCCTTGGAATTATCCCTACCAGACACAA